TAAAAAGCACATCTAAATCTATAAAATTACTAATTTTTAAAACTCCAGGAAAACTTTCCAGGTAACCTCTTTTTTCGGCACCGAAGGACTATATTAGTGATCGAATATTTGTTTCTCGAAGTTCTTTTTCGCGTTTATCTAGACCTCACACGATTCAATTATGCCAGCATTATAGGACTATGAAACTTATATTTTGCTTTAGATTTCAGACAAGCTTCAAGGTCACCTCCGTAAAATGTTACTTGTTGCCTAACTATACCGAGTACCTCAAATGAAATCTAAGCCTTAAATAACTACTAATTAAAATAACCGAAAATGGTATTCAGACTCACTTACATCGATCCTCTGCATACCCCGCAAATAAAACGTAAATCTACAGTATTAATAGCATATTCTATAGTAGCAAGTAGCATAAGTTATTTTATTCAAAAATTATTTATTTTTTACAGTTTAAAATAACATTTCAAAATCATATTGCAGTGAGTTTTAGGTCATTTTCCATGGAATTGTAACGAAAATTTTAGCAATGACTAATCACCAAGCATCGCTCAGAAAAATCGAGCTACGATAGCAAATCTTTAGTAATTTATTATTTTCATACACGAGTATGAAAGAAAACTCGATGAGTATTATTTCTTTAACAAATACTTTTCATGTACACATCAAAAGATATAGTATTATTAAAAAAAACTTCACTGAGCTTGTGTTATGAAAATTTCTGTTGTCTTTGTCCTATTGCTTTGATCTAAATAATTATATTTTTTTCTGTACACAGGGATTTTGTCGACGTAAAAGCTTTAAATTGTAAGTTATAATTACGTTTAATTTTTTTTTATATATAGACATGTTTCAATAAGGATCGACAAAGTGAAACTTACACGTGCTGAGGCCTCTGGATATCTCATGCCCTAGCCCACTACGCTGCTCAGATTTGGATTGGTCGTCTTCATATTATTTTACTTTTTATTAAAAGTGAATTTTTTGACCCTTTTGAGTGGATATCTCCAGCTAAAACTAACAACTAGAATGTTGTGCAGTAAACATTGCATCCCCTACCTTCTTACCCTAAGGGGTAGAATTTACTCTTCTTTATAAGGGACTGAACTAATCAATGTATTAAAACAGTATTATTAAATCATTTCAAAATTAACGAAGATATTACGTGACTTAAATACAAAAAAATTAAATACATATTCGAATTGAGTACCATATTATTTTTTTTAAATGGGCTAAAGAATAAAAGTTCTTCATTTTAGTAGCCAGCATAAAATATAAATATTTTTCTTACCATTAGACACAATGAATATCAACAGAAAATAACGTTTTGTAAAATATAACTTTTCAAGGCGAAATCTAATATTTTTTCCCATTATAAATGCGATAAACGTTGATATCGGAAAAGTACCCTTGATTTCTATTACGTGGTTCATTGATTCATGTGTAAAACCAGCATAAGCAAAAAGGTTTAAAAGGGAAAGGTCTGAGAGACTAATTCTAATTTTATTTCGTTACCATTTCTAACTGTAAAAATGTTATTTATACGCGTACCACAACTTTGATTTCATTTCATAAATTTTTTTTATTGTTTTTAAATTTTAGCTCATTTGAAAATGAGACGACAACGAAATATGATAAATATACTTATGACACCCAAACGTGCCATCGTCGCTACCTCTAAACACTCTGCTAATTTCCATCCCTTCATTGTCGACCTTGCATTCGAACCAATCGATTTGCTTACAAAATCAAAGAAGTCAGCATCTGTTTTTGCAAAATTATTAATGTTCTTAGTGAGTTTGTGTGAGCTTTAGTGAGAAACAACTTCCCTGAACGGGTTTCTGCCTTGTCATGGCGGAGGGTGGGGGAGGCAGTAGCCGTAGCTTGATATCCCATGTTAAAAGTAGGGAATTCACATGGCTGAGGCGAGGTGGTTACTCTGAGTGGGCTTGTCGATCCCTTGGATGTGTGTTATTTGGCTGCGGCTAGAGAAGATTCCTTTCGCTGTACCGCTGCAGTCAAGTTGGGGTCGCAAGACTATCCTCAGACGTGGTCCTTCACTGCTGTTCAAAGACGCTTAGCGAGCTATGGAGAGGGCTAAGCTCGGGGTTTTCCGCGTGATAAACTTAGGAATGAGAATATCCGCAGAGCCAGAGTTACCCACAAAATGGTGGTTGAAAGTGGAATACAGCTTGATGTTATTATATTACTGTGGACCCCGGTAATCTGACAAAAATTTTGCAGGGCAGGGTAACAGACTATCGAATTTGTCGGATTATAGAGTACTGCCTAAGATCTCTATAGTCCGGAATTTTTTTACAAAAGAGTACCTTGAAAACCGACAAATTACAGATCTAATGACAAGATTCTATATGTTATATATATGTACTTTGAAGTACAAATCATACTTCATTATGTATGTCAAATTTAGTAAATTAAACAACACAATAAAGGGTTTAGGGTCATTAAAGCTATAGAATTTACAAATAATATCCAATAACTTTACATTAGGAAGCAATTGTTCTGAAAATGGTTGAAAGATTATAATTTTCCTAAAAAAGCGTTATTGCTTCTTGATAACGCTATAATATATAAACGCTATAATAACGCAATATATATAATTTTAGTATGCACATATGTGCTACTGGCGAGTAATAAAAATAAACCAGCAATGTCTATTACGAGAAGTTACAAATCACAATACAAGAAATTTCTTGAATTTTTATGTTCCTTAAATAACGACAATTTTTTTTAATAGCACTCTGCTGAGCCAGCAGACATTGTTCTGTTCTTTCCGGTCGCTGGTGCAATGCAATCTACTCCGATTTCACTTCAGGCTTTTTACAATGTAATTATAAAATTTAAATTACTAAATCTAAAAACCTATCGGGCTTGGATTTTGTGACTATGTTTTTAAATAAAATAACATAATATTTTATGAATATGAGTCATTTTATTATAAATATAATTTATTAATAACTTGAGTATAGCGCCACCTATCAGATCCAATCATTGCTACGCCTTGATAAAACAAATACTCTTATATTGTGTGAATATAACATCATTCGGTCAAATAGTTTAAAAGTTTACGATCACTTACAGACGCACCAATGATCGTAGCATTATCATAATCATAAATTCTCACGCTCGGCATCCAGTGGAGTAGGCATAGACTACGGAATCCCATTTGTTACTTGTCACTGACACTTCTGTCGTTTCTTTAACATATATATCATGGAATATAGGGGTAGGAGGACAATTTCTCATAAGAGAATAGTTGAAATGTGTCCATCTGCAAAAATAACAATTAAAAAACTCTTCAGAATAGCGCTAGAGTAGCTACAGGGTATATATATCGGGTATATATATATATATATATATATATATATATATATATATATATATATATATATATATAAGGGCATATAAATCGCCATACGTTGAGAGTGATTTTGAAAATAAAAATTTTGAAAAGCAATAAAATAAATTATTGTAAAAAGAATTGTGGTGAAAGTCTGTGCAATAAAAAAATTATAAAGATCTTTAAATTTTAGACTTTTTTTATAGAATGGGGTGATAAACGAGCACACAGACCACCTGGTGGTAAGTGGTTGCTGCGGCCCATAGACATCTACATGTATCCTCAATTACAAAACAAAATGCTGATGCGTTGTCACCCGTGAGGACTAATATGGAATGCCTCATTTCCAGTAAAAGGGGTCTCCGGTTCTCTACACTCACCATACGAAATACAGCAGCATTAAGCTACTATTTCACGCTGGTGTTCTGTGAGAGCGTGGTCCCATTCGTGCTACAAGTATACTACTAATATAACTGCAGCATGGCGTATAAAGTGTATAAAGCATGGCTACCACGTATAAAGCTGAGACTGTACCTACAGTGGCGCCACCCTTATTTAGCGCTTTCCTACGGACAATTTTTTTATACAGTCTGTACTCCTAACCTCTACACTCCATAATAAATATTTTTATAGGTATTTCTGTTTACCAACTGGCCAAGATCACAATAGAATTAGCCATAAATACATCAAATACTGATAAGTGATAAGATGTCTATTGCGTAGGTAGCTAGTCATCTACTTTATCTAAGTGCAAACTAAGAATAAAGAACCAAGTCAAGCCGCATGACAAGGTTAGCAACAATGGCGAAATTGGCGGATTTTGCTAAAGATATGGTGATTCACTTTTGGTAGGTCGTAATAAGGAGGATGATGATGATAATGATATATATACAAATAAATAAAATTGAAGTGTCTGCTTGTGGTGTCAAAAAACACAAAATAACAAAAACACAATTTTTAATTTTTTTTCTGTCTGTCTGTCTCTCTGTTTGTTTGTTTCAGTTAATCTCCGAAACGAATGGACAGGAATTTCACTTGCAGTAGCTGATGTTATAAAAAGTAACTTATGCTACATTTATTTCAGAAAAAGAATTAGCGTTCCGCGCGAAAAATAAAACCCTAAATAACATGCGCGCGAGTTCGCTGGTATCAGATAGTAATATTTATTATTTACGCTACGTATCTTGAGAATACAAAACAAAAAGTAAAAATAAAGGCTATAAATTGTTTTCGTTAAAGCAGTTTTCTTAGTCACCAATGTCAAATCACTTAAATACCAGACAAAAATCATTTTATTTTCGAGCGCTCTAAAAAAATCGTCTTTCCTGAGAACCTGACGTAAAAAAATAATCCCTAGTGGGAAAAACCGAAGCGAGATTTAAAACGTGTGTGGAATATCTCGTATGACGTAGGTAGAATTTGCCCTCTCTCTTTCTCTTTCGTAATTATTAATGTATTCGCTTCGACTAATTTATTCTTTGAAGTAGTTTATACATTAAATACTGAACGCCGGGCTCAATTTGTTTATAATAATTGTGATGTTATCGTGAATATACGTCTGTTTTAATTAATTGCTCACTTATGAACGTTTATTTCTACACAAGACTCATTGTAAAGTGTGGTGTATTGACTAATTCTTTATTTGGATCCTAAATTACTGTAAGTGAAATGTAATTATTCCTGCATAAAAATAGTAATGAGTGTAATAACTTATTTTTAAATCTTAATCATACTTAAATATATATTTTCCCATTAGAGAAACATATAATTGGTTCTCACATTCACCAAAAAGCTAAAGTGAGTACAAAGAGACAATAAATTGTTAAACAAAAAACATTGCGCTCTATCACAATACTCAAATACCTCAATACTCTTGCGAGTATCACAATACTCGTTGGCTGTACGTTAAATAAACTGTGACTAGAATACTGTCTCGATTTTATATATTATGTTCATTGACATTATTTTCACAATTTAAATAGTATTTTTATTACCTGCCTTATGATTTGATTTTAAATAATTTAGTAATTTTATTAGTTAAAAATATCCCAAAACTGAAGAAATTTCAGACCACAACTAGTAATTAACTTTTCTTTAAGATGGCAACACTGTTAACGAGGCATCTATCTTAGTCCTTAGTTCATCATGGATAAATGTAGGTGTCTATGGGACACAGAACTCACTTATCATCAGGTGAAATCTATTAAAATCCATAAACAGACAGATATAAATTAAAAATATGCACACTTATTAGCTTATTATATATATATATATATATATATATATATATATATATATATATATATATATACAAAAAATCATATCATTATATGTTCTTAGTATAAATTACTATGTATAAATTATATGTTGATCCTGACCTATCTTTATGTTTTTAAAAATAATAACGGTTGCGACTTATTTTTAGGAAGAATCCAAAAAGAAAAATCTGTCTTCATTTAATAATTCTCTTTTCAACGAAGAAACTTGAAAAAATTTTAATTGGTAGCACTCCTTTTATTGTTAGTAGTACTCCTTTTTTGTTAACTGATTTTTACCCGCGTATCCGTTCGCTTATAACGTAAACAAAAAAAAAAACCTGCAGATCTATAAGTCTTTGGTTAGCTGGGACTATGTGGGTTCAAAGAATGATTCAGTAAGGGCCATGAAATTAAAGTTAATCTTAGCCGACACTGTACCTCGATTAATACTAAACATTTTCCGAAGTATGACCTTACAGTCTTTTACTGTTTTTTTAACGCACATCGCTTATAATAATTTAATTTGTTATAAACGATTAAAACCCGTTATCACCCTTTAACAGCGAGCCATTAGAACTGACAGCTGCCAACGCGGTTAGATGAGTTTACAAACTATTTATATATTAGTTGAAGGTTATAACAACAAACTATTTGTATGTTCAATTATATAATTTTTTACGAAGCACTTTTTTATATTAATAGAATTAGTAATTAACAATTAAAAACCGTTTTAACTAATTAAATGCAAACAGTGAGAGCTGATGTTAAGTTAGGTTGCAATCAATTATTGATTTAAATAATTATTCAAACTGATGTGCGCTGCAGATAATTAAGCTGGTTAAGTTAGGATACAATCAATTATTGTTTTAAATAATTATAATTGATATTTAATCAAACTGATGTGCGCTGGCAGATACCTAAGGCGGTTAAGTTAGGTTGCAATCAATTATTGTTTAAAATAATTATAATTAATATTTAATCAAACTGATGTGCGCTGGCAGGTACCTAAGCCGGTTAAGTTAGGTTGCAATCAATTATTGATTTAAATAATTATAATTGATATTTAATCACACTGATGTGCGCTGGCAGATACCTAAGCCGGTTAAGTTAGGTTGCAATCAATTATTGTTTTAAATAATTATAACTGAACTTAATCGAACTTATAAGGCAAGACATGTTTCGAAAGTATTTATTGATATTACATAAAAAAATAACTTATCCAAACTTTAAGATTCAACACTCATACTTTTAATGTCAATTGTTTTGAAGTTCCAAATAAAAAGTTGAAAATAGATTTTGCTTTAAAGTGAGAAGAAATAAAGTGTAAAGAACTTTATTGACTAAAATTTCAGGACAAAAAGGTTTTGCTTGAAAAATATTTAATATCTCGTTTAGTATATGAGTCATCAAAACCATTTATTATATTTGTTTTTCGATTTAAAAAAATCTTTCAACCATTGAGTGAATACTACTGAAAATACCTAATAGGGTAATAAATAATAATATACTTATAGTAACTACAAACAAAATTGTTAATTTGTTTTAATCATAATAATAAAAATGGGCCAAATTAAGAGTACCCTTAACCGACGAGCATGTATGCGTAGGTATATGGATATGGAAGAGGCAAGAGAGGTATGTCAGGATCGTGCTAAATGGAAGTCTGTAGTCTCTGCCTGTGCCCTCTGGGTGACAGGCGTGAGTGTTTATGTTTTATATGTATAATAATAATAAGCTCCTCTGGCTAATGACTTCGTTTAAGTAATTACTAGTAAACATACTTATTTATAGTACCGTCGTACTAGATTTATATCGTTTATTACTATTTAGTATTACTGTCTACGCGTATTGAAAATTTCTATCCATTTATGTCGTAATGGCATGTATAAAAGTTAAAAGTTACAGCCTATATACGTCCCACCGCTGGGCACAGGCCTCCCCTCATTTCTGAGAGGGTTTTAGGGCAAGGAAGTGTCCGCCGCGCTGCCCCAATGCGTGTTGGCGAACTTCACATGTCTTCGAAATATTTTTTTTGAAGAATGGCATGCATATAACCACTGAATTCGATAAAAGGCAGTTATTTTGTAATGACAAGTAGAAACTTCATATTTATTCATGTGTTGTGTAGATGTATAGATTTATTTATTATTGGAATTTGTGTTCAACAGGTTGAAATGGGATACGGACAAGACAGTCCACCTACTAAGTGGCTACTGCACTTTAACTAATTTGAAACAAAGAATGCCAAGGAGTTTTCCCGGAACTTTAACATTTTATCGTTTAAATAATGGTTTAGAGTTCATTTTGATAGTAAAAGTGATGCGATTTCGTGAAATAAGTGTCTGCGCATGTGAGCTATTATAGAAAACCACGAAACAAGTGCTTCGATGTTCTTAAAAACCTCAAGTCATTTTGATCGCTTGGTCGCCTTATGAACTGTCCGTTGGGTTGAGCTGTCGTCAAAATCTCCCAAAACTTTTGCCATGTGAGGCATCAGCATATTGTGAAAAAAAAACTATAAAAACGTAAAATGTAACAAAAACCCTGTCGTTTCCGTTTAATTGCGTTACCTGATTCAGTATTCACACGTCTGTAAAGAAGTTAAATTAAATCTAAATAAATTTTGTATTTTGTAAATTGTAATTGGTTTTATTACCTAAAAGTTATTTATGTTTATTTATATTTTCTATGGTCGAGTTTTCTAAAGTTAAAGTTCTTTCTATACGTTCGAATACAGATTCTAATGACGCATTTAACGGGAGCCACAGGGTTTTTGCCGTGCCGGGCTTTCTTAACCGAGATATTCTAAACCGCCACTACACGGCACAACAGGGTTGTGCCGTGTAGTGGCGGTTAAGAATATCCACTACCGCACATCTTCCCGTGGGTGTCGTAAAAGGCGACAGAGGGAAACAGGCAGGAGATGGGCAGCAGCATCTTTCTGATAACAGCAACTGTACGACAAAAAAATGCGGTTGCCAACCCGCTCGCCAAGCGTGGCAACTATGGCAATATACCCCCCCATGAACAATTACACAAATAGACGGCCCCCAGTCCCCGGCGGCCCCGCTATTCTTGGCTACGGTGGCGACCATGGTAACGGCGGGGCAGGGGCAGGGCTAAGAATCTCCGGTGGAGGTTCGGTTGCCACCTACGACGACTCGACCTGGCAACATTTAACGCACGCACCCTGAGGACTGACGAGAAGATCCTGGAGCTGGAAGAAGAGATAGACAAGTTGCGCTGGAATATTATAGGATTATCCGAGGTCCGAACAGAGGGGGAGGACACGGTGATTCTCGAATCGGGCAACTTGTTCTATCATCGGGAGGGCGACCATCTTTCCCAAGGAGGTGTCGGATTTATCGTCCACAAGTCTCTCGTCAACAACGTTATAAAGATTGGGAGTGTGTCGACGAGGGTCGCGTACCTGACACTCAGAATCACCAAACGGTATTCGCTGAAGGTCATACAGGTTTACGCACCAACCTAGGCACATCCCGATGAGGAGGTGGAGGAAATGTATGAGGATCTTTTCAAAGCCATGCATTCCCCCAAAATCCACTACACGGTGTTGATGGGAGACTTCAACGCAAAACTAGAAACAAGAGAAAACGGTGAGCTGAAGTTAGGGAAATTTGGAGTAGGGCAACGGAACCGCAGGGGCCAGCAGCTGTCAGCAGTCGGCGACTTTATGGAGAAAGAGGGACTCTTTATGCTGAACTCTTTCTTCCAGAAGCGGCCCCACAGGAAGTGGACCTGGTCGAGCCCCGACGATTCGACAAAAAATGAGATTGACTTCATTATGACGACCAGACGCCAACTGTTCAGTGATGTCTCAGTGATCGCAAGGGTGAAAACTGGCAGCGATCACCGAATGATTAGAGGCACACTGAATCTAAACGTTAAGTTGGAGAGGTCTCGTCTAATGAAGTCAACGCTCCGTCCCCCTCGTGCTCTAATCCAGAATCCCGAAAACTTTCAGCTCGAGTTACGTAACCGCTTTCAGTGCCTACAAGATTGCAATGCAGTGGACGATATGAATGACAAGCTCGTGGAAACTGTCCATGCGGTCGGAGCTAAGTTCTGCAAGACCCGCCGCAGAAGAACACAAAAACTCTCCGATCACACTCTTAATCTCATGGCTGTTAGACGGGAGATGAGGCTGCAATCTTCAACAGATTTGACAGCATACAGGCAACTTAACAGACAGATCTCCAAATGCATGCGGCGAGACTTAGGCAACTTTAATACTACTCGTATTAAAGAAGCGATCGAGCGGAACCAAGGCTCCAAAGTCTTTGCCAGAGATCTGTCTGCCAGTAAGAGCTAACTGTCAAAGCTGAAGACTGAGTGTGGCAGCATCGTTTCCGGGACACCACAGATTTAGACTGAGATTGAGAGGTTCTATAAGCAGCTGTATACATCATCGTTGGGACCACACGCAAGTGTGAGTAACGATCCAAAAGCAAGCCTTATCCGACACTATTCCGATGATATCCCGGACGTCAGTCTAAGCGAGATTAGAATGGCTCTCCAGCACCTTAAAAACGGCAGGGCCCCAGGCGAGGATGGAATTACAGCGGAGCTTCTGAAAGCGGGTGGAACACCGGTACTTGAAGTCCTTCAGAAGCTCTTCAATTCCGTCCTCCATGGTGGAACTACTCCAGAGGCGTGGAGCAGAAGTGCGGTGGTCTTGTTCTTTAAGAAAGACGACAACGCTCTCTTGAAGAACTACAGACCGATTTCCCTTCTGAGCCGCGTCTACGTGCTGTTTTCGAGAGTCATTACGAATCGTCTCGCACGCAGACTCGACGACTTCCAGCCTCCCGAACAGCCGGTTTCCGAAAAGGCTTCAGTACCATAGACCACATACATACCTTGCGGCAGATTGTACAGAAGACTGAAGAGTACAATCTGCCACTTTGCCTGGCGTATGTGGACTATGAGAAAGCCTTTGATTCCGTCGAAATTTGGGCGGTGCTACAGTCCCTTCAGCGGTGCCAAGTTGACTGTCTGTCGGTATATCGAAGTGCTGAAGTGTTTGTACAGTAGGGCTACGATAGCTATCCGAGTACAGAACCAGAGCTCGAAACCTATCCAACTGCAGAGAGGTGTAAGACAGGGTGACGATATATCCCTGAAACTCTTCACCGCTGCATTTGAAGACGTTTTCAAGCTACTGGACTGAAAAGGATATGGTATTAACATCAATGGCGAGTACATCACTCATTTTCGATTTGCCGACGATATAGTCCTTATGGCAGAATCGCTGGAGGACTTAAGCACTATGTTCAATGACCTCAATAGTGCCTCCCAACGGATAGGTCTTAAGATGAACATGGACAAAACAAAGATTACGTTCAATGTCCATGTCACACCTATACCGGTAGTTGTTGGGAGCACTATGCTCGAAGTTGTTGACGAGTACGTTTACCTGGGACAAATAGTCCGACTAGATAATTCCAACTTCGTCCGAGAGGTCAATCGACGGATTCAACTCGGCTGGGCAGCGTTCGGGAAATTACGACATATCTTCTCGTCAGGTATACCTCAATCTCTAAAAACTAGATTGTACAACCAGTGCGTGTTGCCAGTGATGACTTACGGATCTGAGACGTGGTCCTTCACTGCTGGCCGTATGAGGACGCTCAAGGTCGCTCAGCGAGCTATGGAGAGGGCTATGCTCGGAGTTTCTCTGCGTGATAGACTCAGAAATGAGGATATCCGTAGTAAAACCAGAGTGACCGACATAGCCCAACGGTTTAGTAAGCTGAAGTGGCAATGGGCCGGCCATATAGCTCGAAGAACCGATAACCGATGGGGAAGAAAGGTTCTCGAGTGGCAGCCTCGTACCGGTAGACGTAGAGTAGGGCGACCTCCCACTAGATGGAATGACGATCTGGTAAGATATGCAGGAATTCGATGGATGCAGGTGGCTCAGTACCGTGCTTTGTGACATTACTTGGGGGAGGCCTATGTTCAGCAGTGGACTTGTGAAGGGCTGTAATGATGATGATGATGAATGATAGGGTTTTTGTTACATGTTGTATATTCGTAACATGAAAATGTAGAATTGATCATTTTTACAAGAGACTAGGTATTCCATGTTAGTCCTCACGGATGACAACGCATCTCTGCATTTTAATTTGAAATCGAGGATAGATGTAGATTTCTACGGGCCACAGAAACCACTTACCATCAGGTGGACTGTGTGCTCGTTTACCACCCTTATACTATAGGGAAAAATACATTCTTTTCTATTTTTAGGAATTTTACAATGTTTAACTACTGCTTCATCGCGTTTTTCCTGCTGGTAGCCAGTTGTCTGGGTCAAAGGCCATCTTATGCTGGACGAAACCCAATAGGATACCCATCTCTAGAAACAACAACTTCATCCTCTGCCGATGGACTAGGAAACAGGTTATTTTATGATATTAATATACAAACATTTTATAATTAGCAATATATGTTCCTATTATAGCATGATATTATAATAGATCGTATAGTGGCGTTGTAAGAATATCTACTAGCCCATATCATCCCAGGGAAACAAGCCAGGAGTTGGGCAGTAGAGTCTTCCTCATAACAACTCAAAATTTTAAAAAAACTGCCAATAACCCACCTGAAAAGCGTGGTAGCTATGGCAATATCTTCTCTGTGAGGCAGTCTACGGTGGGAGCCCATGTTCAGCAGTGAACTTTTATAGACTGTAATGAATGAATGAATGAATTGTAGCATAAAGACATGAAAGTAATGTTAATATTGGAACCTGAGATATGAATCTCCCCTTTTTAAAGAGGATTTGCCACAACACTTTTAAACAGAGGGAAAAATTAATATCTCGAACCTTTGACGCAACTTTCTGACCTGCATCTGGGTCATCTGGCATATATGGAATGTTTCTCACCGCCATTTATCATAGGCCATTACATCTTTCTGGCTGAATTTCATAGTGTCTTCTTACACATGATAGAAAATAAAAGTTTTGAAATTAAATTTTAAATATTATCTACGATGATTATCTTCTTAAGGTAAGCATATATTAAATTTTTTTAAGAACCTTGTGAAAACTAAAATAGATAGAAAAATGCCTGGCTCAAATGATAGTCATATGATTTGGTCTGCCGACTATAATTAATCACGTATTTTCTGAGAACGGATTGATTCTGATCACTTTTAAGTTTATTTGGAGCAACTGGCCGCCCACATCACCACCCGGTTTCCCTTTGAACGAATATGAAAGATAACAAGACTATCAAGATTATTGATATGGACCTAGTTATATTTAATCTCTTTTTTTATAGGATGGGGTGACAAACGAGCACACAGTCCACCTGATGGTAAGTTGTTGCTGTGGCCCATAGACATCTACATCTATCCACGATTACAAATCAAAATGCAGATGCGTTGTCACCCGTGAGGACTAAGATGGAATGCCTCGTTTCCAGTAAAAAGAGTCTCCGGTTCTCTACACTCACCGTATGAAACACAGCAGCATTAAGCTACTATTTGACGCTGGTATTCTGTGAGAACGTGGTCCTTGGGTTGGTTGGTCCCAGGTTGAGCCGACCCATTCGTGCAACAACTGTACCGAATAGTCTATAACGAAATTAGCTATAACACATCAGATGCATATGATAATTCTAGGTACCTAAGATTTTAAACTGGTACAAAGCTATAATCTACAATATATATGTAAACAATACTTATTACTGACCCTTGACTTTACTTATCTTTGTCTTCTATACAGTAACATACATATGCTAAGTATACATACGCTTTAATAACAATGTCTCAGAAATATACAGACCTTATATATCAAAAGGTTTAAAATATTTATTAAGCAAAAGTTGTTTACTAAAGCGTGCATGATTGATAACCCTGGGAATAAAGTGATCGCAACCATGCTGTTTCTTAATGTTTTAGTAACAATTGTAAAAATAATAAATATTTTACTGTAAGTAATGCTTTAATAAAATTGTCCCGCTAGGTTTCTTGCTGGTTATTCCAAGGACAGAGGGTTATTTTCCGAGCCGGTGGTAAAAGTAAAAAATGACTTTTAATATATTACATATAATCAATATTAAATACTAACAGTATTTAATGCATATACATTAAACCCTACTGGGAATAAACTTTAAATATCGTAGTAAATAAATTTTCTATTATACATTCTAGATTTGGCAATGATGATGGCACTACACAAAGGCTACCACTCGAGGCTTTGGGTGACAGGGACTTGGTCAATCGCCTAAACAAGCTTCCTATCGATAAACAACCATTTTGGTTCCTCAATTGGAAAGCTTTGGAAGAGGTTAGAAGGTCGCCACAAACTTATCCTATAAGACCCAATCCTTTCATTAATCCCATTCCTACAAACCAATTTAATCAAATCCCGGACAACAAAAATAGACAAATAAACTTTAATAAAAACTAAAAATTAAACTTATACATATTATATATCCGTATTCACAATTTCCTAGGTCTGTAAGTAATTCCAATAAATGTTATCACTGCTAAACTGTGAATTTATTTTAATCATTGCACGTTATATAAAGTCTGAGAAGAGAAGAGAAGTAAGTAAGTAAGTAAGAGTGGTGCTCAATGAAATAAAATTTTAACCAATATTTTAATATTAGTCTTAAGAGAAAATAAGCTGATCTTTTTATTTAATTTTCGCACCGCCGCGCCGCGTCACATGAGCATCTTGAAGGCATCTTGTGTACCAATTTTTATTTTTACATTAGGATTTTCTCCTGAATCGTGGAGGCAATTTACATACATACATTTTACAAGAACAAACATCCAGCTACGGAACAATTATTTGTAGGCCATACAAATACATGTTCCGTGCGGGATTTAAACCCATAGCCATTAGCGGTGCAACTCATTGCTAAGCCACTGCACCACGAAGCTGTCAATACTGGTACGATGTTAGAACTATTTTGACGTACTGGTTACTTTTTATGACTAAATGTCAATAAATTATTGTACATGGTAGAGCCATGCTGCAGCCACTTTATGGTTGCATTACGAATGCTCGAAAGGAATAAGACCGCTGTCACAGAACACCAGCGTGAAGCCTTCGATCAATAATTAATCATCGATCGAAGCGTGAAGCGGCAGCTTAATTCTGCTATGTTTAGTATGGTGAGTAGATAACGGGAGATAATGTTTAATGTTTACAAGGCATTTCTTCTTAGTCCTTTATGACAACACAACATCTACGATTACATTTAGATTCTTACTAATTGGTATTTGTAGGTGCCTATCCTACTTAATATGTGTTGGACTATGTGCCCGTATGTCACCATTATTCTATAAAAGAAATAAAACTAACAAGCTAAAAGTCTACCTGATGTATGCAGTCAGTAACAAAATTAAAAGAAGAAAGATTTTATCCCATACATTATTTTATATTCCCGACGTTTCGAGCATTTTACAGCACCCATTGTCACGGGGACTAAGGTGTTCGACGTCCCAATGTTGTAGTTAGCAACGGCTACCTCCTCTAATTTAAATCTAGATTCGAATTTTATTCCCGAAAAATCGGGAACATAAAATAAATTAATATACGCGATGAAATCCGTAAAAACTATTTTTCCAAATGTGTAGTGTTCGAGTAAATACAAGAAATCATTAAGGAAACTACAGTGAGTTGTCTGCTATCACGTGGGGACTAAGATGTACTAAGTAGCCTCAGAACCTGTAATAATACTAGCTTTTTTCTGTACTGAATTTTAAAGTAGTTAAAGTTGCACTTGTGAATGTAAAATTGTTTACGAACAAAAGACAATAAAACTAGTCTCCACGGGCTCCTAAATACTAGTTAACGAAATTGAGGGTAATAAGATATTTTCATTTAGTGGTTGGATGAACGAGAATTGGATGCCCGACTATTTAACCTGAGGGAATAAAGGCTATTAAAACTTCATCTCTGATATGATACATGACAATAATTTGTGATTTAAATGATTTCAAATTAAGCAAAATATATTACTGTGATAGGCAGACCTCCTGAGAAGTGCTAAAAATAATTAAAAATAAATGGACCCTCCAGTAAAATATTATTAAACACAAGAACTCTATTGCTGTGATGTATCAACAAATATGCTACTATTAATAAATAATAAGTTTAATAAAAATAATTATGGCTACAGCATCATTAACTGTTTCGAAGTTCATCACGAAGAAGCGAACCGCGAACAGATTAAGAAGTAATAATTTAATACTTTTTTCTAAGCAAGTACCATTTTTCGTCAGGCAGCACAGCAGTCAAACACTAACTTTTTTATAATGCACGGAAATACGTATAAGCATTTTTTTTAAATTAAATTTAGTTGAAGATTCGGGTTTCATGTTAGTATGGGACCTATCATCTTTAGGTTTGATTTCTAACAAAAATTATGTGCTAATTGTGTTATGTGCCCCGCATTTCGTAAATAGCGACTCCTGCATGCACCTGACTTAGGTGCTCTGATGATGATACAGCAGGAACAGGACCGTTGGTTGGAACTCCGATAGGAGAAACAGGCCACCGACAGGAGGAACAGACCCGCTGACAGGAGAAACGGGCCCGTCGTTTAGAAGAGCAGCTTAAACGCGATAAAGAAGAGCAGAACTCCTCATGAAGGAACTTCACGCTACCTTCGGGAAATATATAAGGGAGGTGACGGATAGGGTTGCTCAATATGACAACCGCCTGTCGGAAGCTGAAACCCGAATCGACCAAGTGAACATTCAGGTTGACAACGTGATGGCTGACATGAAGAAAACGCTGGATGACCTCAAACTTGGGGACGGAATTACAGCTCCCGAAGTAGCTACAGCACTGGTCGGCCTACAAAATCCAGTTCGAAGCTGTCATGAAGGCGAACAGCTGGAATAAAAGTCAGGCCATGACTGCTTTCATACTAGAACTAGGCCTTAACTGTTCTGGAAGCTCTCAGTAACGGCCTGGCCACGGGGATCGGCGGCGCGAACGGCGAAGCGACAGACGGGGCGAAAATTCGCGTGGCGCGATTTGAGGGCCACGGGAATTCACGTTTTCCGCCGCGACCAGATAGGCCGAGAGTGAAATGTCTTTATCAAAGTTATCTCGATATTGCTTAGAAAGTAATTGTTTTTTGATTCAGGACATAATATTTGGATGAGATTGCGGACTACTTGATTTGAATAGGAATCGGGATGATATGTATGATGATGAATAGATGGAGAATTCCACAACAAATAGAAAGCATCTAGAAAAAAACTTCGAGTAAATACCAGAATGAGTGTTGAAATCTGCGATTATATTCTTGTTAATATTCAACCAGAATTGGAGATAAAAGTCAATGATGGAGAATGATTTCTTATATTTACGCGAACACTACACATTGAAATAATACTAGTTTTTTACGGAATTTATCGCGTATATTTAACTTTTTAAATAACCGACGTTTCGAACGTTTTACAGCACTCATGGTCATGGGCGGGACTGAGATGTTCAACGTCCATATGTCATAATTAACCGCGGTTACCATAGATTAAAATTTAACTTTTGTTCCGATCTATGCAGTATGAACTTATGGTATCTTGAAGTCTTGCAGTTGTATGCTTGGGTTGGGATTTAATTTTATTTATTATAGGATCCCAAGCAGATGGTAGCACCCAGCCATCTTCTCTACTGAAATTAGAATGTTTTCTGATTTCAATAGCCTCACGAATCATCCTTGGAAGGAATCGGTGTTCTTTAGCGAGGATTTGCGGTCTATTAAATCTGATGTAGTGACGGGGGCAATCCTGTACGTGTTCACAGACTGCAGACTTCCCGGAGCGTCGATTATTCACATCAGCTATATGTTCTTTAACGCGGGTTTTTATTGATCTTTTAGTTTGTCCTATGTAGGAGAGACCACATTCACAACCAAGCTTGTACACTCCTGCATCTTGTAGAGGGACATTATACTTGACTGATGGTAAAAACTGACCAATCTTCTTCAGCGGCTTGAAGTATGTTTTGATGGAAGCGCGCTTCAAGATGTAGCCAATCTTGTCAGTGACTCCTCTAACATATGGCAGTACAGCAGGTACACGCTCGACTGTGTAAAAATTAAATCTGGACGTAAAATGGATAATACCTACGTGCGCCAAATCACCAAAATTGTATGGGTTACCAAAAATACACAAGCCCAATGCTCCATTACGTCCAATAGTGAGCCAAATCGATTCACCAACTTACAGATTGGCTCAACACTTAGCGAAAATACTCTCAAAGCTCAGGGGACATACAAGAGCACACATAAAGGATTCCTATCATTTTGTCAGCGAGATTAAAGACCTACATCTGGCAGACAATGAAACTATGGTCAGTTTTGATGTACAGTCATTGTTTACATGCTTACCTGTTGAAGACTGCATCTCAATTGTAACTAGAAGGCTGGAAGAAAACAACATGCCCGTAGAATATGCAGTATTACTCAGACACTGCCTTACATCTGGCTACCTATTGTGGAAGGAGGAGTTCTACAAGCAAGTAGATGGTGTGGCGATGGGCTAACCTGTATCTCCCATTGTCTCCGACATATTCATGAAAGACTTTGAGGAGAAAGCCCTGCTTAGTTCACCCATAAATCCAAGATTCTACAAGCGGTACGTAGACGACACTTTCACAATTCTACCTTTAGACAAAGTAACTGCATTTTTAGACCATCTTAACTCTATAAATTCTAAAATTCAGTTCACAATGGAGTTAGAGGCAAACAATTCCTTAGCTTTTCTAGATGTGTTAGTAATTCGGAATCCTGATAACATCTTGAGCCATACTGTGTATAGAAAAAAGACCCATACAGATAGATATTTAAACGGTGATTCTTACCACCATCCTTCACAGTTAGCTACCGTGGGTAAATCTTTGTTTCAGAGAGCACGAGGGATCTGTGACAGTAAACACCTGGCTGCAGAGCTCCACCATTTTTTTACATGGGGAAATGCCTACGCATACCCACCTCGCGGGGGCAAGGACGGGTTATGTCGGACTCGCACCGACTAAAACCCCATGGTGTTCCACCTTCGTCGCATATTGGCAGGGCTACGGGAACGCTTTCGCGCACTTCCGCGGCCCTACCAGCGACTGCCGCCCCATGGCAGCACCTCCTCGGGAGAGGAATATTCCTCCCCGTTCTCCTTCCTAAGTAAGGCGCACCGGAACACATGGCACGCCTTCCTCCACGGCCTCCAATTACATCTGCGCAACAGACGCCCCGCGTCCAATGCACGAAGGCCATGGGGCCAGGAAAAACGAGCACTTAGAAGTACTAGCCTTCCCGACCCCAG